AATGGTGGAAAATCAACACGAAAATCAGATAGAAACTTGGATTAAAACCGGGTCGTGTTTTTTTTTTTTTTTTTTACGGGGTACCATTCTTCCCATATAGATTAAGATTGCAGTAATAGCAATAACCACGCGATATCAGCAATGCTAGTGCCAACAGTTACAGCAACAGCAAATAAGAAGAGCGCGGTCAGACCAATAGTAGTACCTTGGTAGTAACAAGAAGGCTGATCACAGCAACAGCAACATCACTCCGACATGGAGGTCCAGGGTATTTCTAGCCCATTTATACTTGTAGTTCTAACCCAATTATAAGCCCGCTGAATTGTAGTTCTAACCCAAGTATAAGCCCGCTGAATCCCCCGACGTGGCTTATCATTTGGCTAGAATTACAAGTCTACTTGGATTATAATTAGGTACGCTGAACCTCTAAGTAGCCTTGTTTGCTTACTTGGAAGTTCATGGGTGCTTAGAGAGATGGTAACTAACACGCTGACTTGATGTTTACTGTTGTTTTGTTCAATACTGCTGCCGTTATTGTAGTTAGTTATCATTATTTGCAGTAGCAATATTCCCATTGCTTGGGTACTGCCCCCACNNACAGTTGGATAATATTTCTAATATGACTATATATAGCCCTTAATATGGCCCCTATCATAGACTGAGCCGCCAAAGCCAGCAAACCTCCTGCACCTAGAAGTTGGAATGATGGAACCCATCTCAAGCTTCCATGGTTTTTGGCGGCATGTGTTTTGGTAGAGAGTCCAGGGCGAGACATTCATGGGGAACTTGCTTTAGAACATACCGAAATGAGCAGCAGTGTCTTGATTACTCCGCACGGCACAGGGCCAGGGGCTTTCATGATGTCGCGTTTCACTACTGATCCTGCGGATAGGTAGCTTGAAATTTGAGCGCAGGCCCACAACATCTTCAGGCAGATTTTGCCAACCAATACCTGGGTGGTGGAGTTCTGAGTGGAGGCAGCTCACCCAAGTGCGCTCATCTAAAGTTCGCGGTCCAGAGTTCCAGTATTCAGGGCCCAAGCTGGTCGCTTTAGAATTCCGGTTCCATTCGGTTTTGGATTTGACTGCAGTTTCTGGCTTGCCATACCCCAAGGGGTCCAGGTACCCCAAAAATATACATAATTGAGACCTCAAAAGGACCTTCAAAGCGAGCCCATATCGTATATACTTTGGCCACAAAGTACTTATATGGTAGGATTCCGAAGTGGGGGGATCCCAATCTAGACCCCTAACATACTATAATCCTAATTCTTGGTACCCACAAAGAGGTACCCCTAATTTTGGGAAATCCCCATATGGGAATAATATAGGAACCTTTTGGGTCCCAAGGATATGCAAAATTGGTACCTGGACCCTTTGGGATTTACTCCAAGTGATATGGTAGTTTGCCTGAGTAGGGGTCCTTAATACAGCCCAAGATACTATAATCTTGTATTAAGGGACCCCCGGAAAAGTACGCCTAATTTTGGGAAACTTCCATATATTGGTGGTTCACAGAAGCGGCTTCCCCGTGAACATCAGGTTTAGTTTAGTGTTATAGGTTCCATTATCCTTTCCTCCTACATGACAATGATGAGAACAGTATGGGGGGAGGAAACATGTCTGCATATGTATTCACACGTATATGCAGGGGCCCCTGTTCCTAGAAACTCTCAGGAAGACAACGTTTGCGCTATGACTTGCAGTACGTGCACATTGAACGCAGGCATTCATGCCAACGCCCAGATGCAGGTATATACATTATAGTCCGGGCCCGAGTACGTATGTAGGAATCGCTTGTACTATCTATCTACTAAGCCCTAAACCCTAAACCCTAAACTACTTGGGAAGCCAAAGGACCGTATAGCCACTTGATGGGCCAGGTATACACTATTTCGGTTACTCTCATGCAGGCGGAACGCAGGAGGAGTGCATGTTCGTGGAGTTCCCCGAGCTGCTAGCGACGATCTATCTGGTGGAGCAACTTTACTGCAATGGCCTGAGGGTTTAGGGTATAGGGATATACCCCCAGAGTTGCCTCTCATCATTGGGATACTATGGGGGGAATAGTAGAGGGAAGTACCTGGTTTCTGTATGGTCAAGGCATCCATGTGCCCGATAGTTTAGGGTTAAGGGTTTTAGGGCTTTAAGGTTGAGAGTCTGAAGTATAGGGTTTAGGGTACCTTCGGCTTGGGCATCAGTAATTATATTACATGACTCATGACTATTGGCACCTAAACGCTAGACTCTAGAGCTTATAGTCCCCTTAATCAGATAGAATGCGGCTATGAGTATATAATAATAAGATCCCCATATACCCCATGTATTCTGTCTACTTAAGGGGGACTATAGGGTTTCCCGACCTTTTGCTGCAGCTTAGCGGGGACTATAAACCCCAATCGCTAAGCCCTAAATAATAGTTTCCATTTTCTTCTCCATTATCCCTATATAACCCCAATATATCCCTAATATTCTATCTACTTAAGGGGTGCTGTAAACCCTGTACCCCTAAGGCTCCAAGCACCTAATAATCATATACTTACCCAAAACCTGTACTAAAGTTACCATTTCCCAAATCCCAAGTACTTGATTTTTGGGTACATGGACCCTCAACCCTAAACCCTATATACCCCTACATATCCTTATATAGATCCCCTTTAAAGGGACCTATTTTTTTGGGAAAATCCCGGTACTTGGGCCCTGAGGCTCTAAGGGATGGTTGGGACCTTGGTCTCAACCCTAAACCCTAAATCCTAAACCCTACCCCTAAACCCTAAACCAGACGTGGCAGGCTCTGAGAGGTTAATCTCCATGCCTGGAAGGTTTGGGTTTAAGGGTTTAGGTTTTTTTTTGTTTAGGGCTTAGGGTTTGCAACATGGATCTGACATTCCAACGGCATGGCAACAGGACCCTTAGGGTTAGGCATGATGCCTACCATACGGCTCTACCCTCGGTTGCTGTTAAGGAACTTACATTGAGCTACTGCGAGAAGGAAACCCTATTATACACCAGATACCCAGAACTGAACTGAAATTAAGCTACGGTGGTCAGGAAGCCCTAGTATTCACTAGATACCCATAATCTGGTAGCTGAAGCTGAGTTCCTTAACAGCAACCCGGTACCTCAAATCACAAGGGCTTCATTCTTTTGATGTGAGCCTTCGTTATCAATTGCACAGTCCTGGTTCAAGCCTCCTCATTATCCCAAGAGGTCTAAGAGGGACCCACATCGCATACATGTAGCCCCAAGAAATACCTACATATAGAGGAACACCTGTATACGTAGGGACCCATATATATATAATATGTATATACATATATATAATATGTACATATATATATATATATGTTTTGAGTGGTACCTGGACCATTTGTTAGGGTATGTGCGAAGGAGGATGATGCCACATGAAGCTGTGGAGATGGTAGGTGCCAGGACGCTCTGCATGAATGTTTTCTCTAATCAACGGGTTTAGGGTTCAGGATTTAGGGTTCAGGGTTTAGGGTTCAGGGTTTAGGGTTTAGGGTCCATGTGCCCAGCAAGTGGATCCCTTCGAAGGGCTACAGAAGGGTCTATTGGATATGTGGGAATGCATGGGGTTTAGCGTTCATGTATCCAATTAAGGGTACTTGGGAGTTGGGTACTAGCGATTGTAGTACAGCGTTTGGGGACGTATAGGGTTGTTCACTTCCTAGAATTTTTGGGGACGCAAGATGTTTAGTAAATGTAGGGACTATGCTCGGGAGCGCTGGAGGTATGGTAGAAGTATAAATTCTGGGAAGAAGCCCAAAAAGGGATTTGTTTTTAGTTTGTCAGCTGTCCCATGTCGAAGTACACATTCTTTCCATGTTCGTTTCCATTATCCCTATATAACCCCAATATACTATATAATAGTTTCCATGTTCTTCTCCATTATCCCTTATGTAACCCCAATATACTATATAGTCGTAGTTTCCATTTTCTTTCCATTATCCCTTAGATAACCCCCATATACTAAATAGTAGTTTCCATTTTCTTTTCCACTATCCCTACATAGACCCAATATACTTTCGCCACAGACCAATGCAGATACAGAATGCTTAACAGAATTGGATGGTACTGCGAGTGATATGGAGATTTCCTTTCGAGAGTCATAGGAAATTTTGCAGGCTGCTTTTTGACTTTAGGGTTTAGGGTTTGGGGGTGTCGGGTTTAGGGTTTATTGTGTAGAGTTTAGGGTTTAGGGTTCGTTCCTGGAGGTGTAGGTGCGCAGGGATATGCATTTGTTAGCTGACTAGAGCTGGGTTGGCCCGTCCGTGCTTGTTGAGGTGGAGCCTTCACCCCACCCTGACTACCCTTTCTCCTGCACGAGGCTGGCGTGAGAAAACGTTCTGCAATCCACCTTCCGTGCGAAAGCAAACAAATGATGACGGACCATCGACGCATGTTCGCCAGGTTTTAAGCAGCTTTTCCAGCAGCATCATACAGCGAGTTTTGACCCTGTAAGCGCAATGTCATGCGCGAACTGCCAGGTTCTGCAAAAGCATGGCAGCAACACCTTGGTCAAAGTAGTGATTATTGGTTCTGGCTAAGTGTGCGGACACACCTAAAGCCAAAGCTGCAACAATTACAGTGAAGGTGCAAGTCACTACATAAAGACATTCAGCAGCTGTCATCGACGTACTATAAACAGTCAAACAGGCAAAGTAGAGGCCTGGGCAACCAAACAAAGCTTCGATGTGGAGTACAACTTAGGAGGACCCCCACCCTGTAATAGTGGTATACGAGGAATATGAGAGGACCCTAATACAATCCCTATTATCCCTTATAGCCTAAACCCTAAACCCTAATCCCTATTATCCGTTATAGTCACTATTACTGTGTGGGGGATCCACCTAAAGTACAACCTGTGTAGTTCAGTCAGTCAGTGTTCGACTCTCATGAAACCTGGGTCTGACGAAGACTCTGAAGCGTCGGGAGGCTTGTGTATTAGGGTTTAGAGTTTAGGGTTTGGGGTTTAGGGATTACGGTATTAGCCTGGAAGGAAATACATCGAGCACAACATGGGCGGCGCACGGTATCTGGATCGCTGTTTAACAAGTTAAGAGAGTTTCTCAGCATGATCCCCTGTCCCTACAGGGTTGAGGGCTTAGGGTTTAAAGGCACCCTCATGATCTTGCAGCTGTACCATGTCCTGGGGGTCTTTAGGAGTATCCTCATTTCAAAAATGCCCATGGCCCCTGTTTATGGCGAGGAGGGTGATGTTGAACTTTTACAAAGTCAGCGGCATCCACGAGGAGCAAGTAAGCAGAAGTGACTTCCTCTATGGCCAGCAGCATAGATGTCAAAGATTGTATAAGAAATACATGATGAATTTTCACAACACGTTCCTTCAGACTCCAGGTGCTCAATTGTCATATGCATCCCCCAATCCTGTACTACAGCTAGTTGTACCCAAATCGACAGTACCCAAGTATTGGGTACATGGTTCCCGAAGATTTGCTTATCATCAGAACCCTAAACCCTACACCACCTAAACCCTAAGCCCTAAACCCTAAACCCTATACCCCCCAAACCCTAGACCATAATTCAGGCATTTGAAGAGACTGGATCAGTTCTGTCGCCTTGCGCCTACCATTGGACCGCCGACTGTGGCTGCAGCCGGCTTGCAGGGTAGGCCTTGCTTTCACCATCGTTTAGGGCTTTAGGGTTTGAGGGTTTTAGGTTTTATGGATTTTGGATTTTAGGGTTTAAGGTTTTAGGGTTTTAGGGTTTTAAGGTTTTAGGGTTTTAGGGTTTTAGGGTTTAGGGAGGGTTGTGGTTTATTGCATTTGGGTTCAGGATTTCTGGTATAGAGTTTGATGTCTGATGGTCAGTAGGGAACAAGAAATACAACCCTCAGTTATTCCCCATACACTACAATATCCTCCCTAGTTCCCTACTAAAGGCTTTTTGCTATGGTTTTTGGTGGTTGGGTTTCGGGCTCAGGGTCTCTTAGCGGGTATGTTTTGCAGAGCTTCTCTAGAGGCTGTACCTGAAGGTTTATAGAAACAAAACATTATAGCACCAAGTAGGGGAACTCCTAACTTGGCTTCACCTACAGCTAGTTGCCACTACAAATCTTCCCCGTAATTAGAGTCGTTCTTTAATGTTGCCCCCCCCCCTCCAGCCCGACAATAGGGCCCCCACAAATTTGAGAAAGAAGCTGTCTTCATTAAGGCTCCCACGGTACTGAGGGCGTTGGGAAGCCGTGGAGATTACTTGACAAGGGATAGTCTGGACACGGTTAGGGCCCCAAAACCAAGACACATCACACACTGTCTCCCAAAAAGGGGCCTGAAACTGAATAAGCGGCTGCCAAAACACATTAGACAAGGTCTCTTTGCTAAAAGCAGTGCAACATTGGCCTTAACTTACCTTAGGTTGGCTAGGAATGAAGGAATGGATCCGCACAGTAGTCCCCATGTAACCCATTCTGGTAGTTTCCAGTTTCTTTTCCATTCCTTCCAAACCCCAAACCCTAAACCCGATAGTAGTTTCCATTTTCTTTTCCATTCCTTCCAAACCCTAAACCCGATAGTAGTTTCCATTTTCTTTTCCATTCCTTCCAAACCCTAAACCGTGACCCGGTAGTGGTTTCCATTTTCTTTTCCATTCCTTGCAAACCCTAAACCCGATAGTAGTTTCCATTCTCTTATCCATTCCTTCAGTCCCAGCTAACCAAATCCTAAGGGTCCAAGTACAGCATAATTAGGTACGGGTTTTGGTTAATAGTAATTGTGGTACAGGTTTTGGGTAAGTATATGATTATTAGGTACTTGGACCCTTAGGGAAAGGCCAGTTAACCCCAACAGCGTGCATGAAGCTTCCCGTGTACGGTCTGTATGGCTGGCCCATAGCTCGGCTTGTAGGGCCTTGTAGAGGATGTAATCCCCTCCCCCTGATATTACACCCCCCAATATTAGATATTCCCAATATATTATAATATTCCACAATGGGAGTATCTGATATTGGGGGGGCGGGGGGGTGGCGGGATTTAATATCGGGGGGGATTAAGGGTATACAAAGGGTCCCAAAAACGGGTCCAATGCTGCATTCCTCCGAGGGATTTGCGAGCCTAAATCCTAAGCTTCAAAATCCCAAGCCCCAGACCCCCAAGCATGAAACCCTAACGCCTAAACTGTAAACCCTAAGCCCTGAACCCTGCAAGCTCTGGGACACAAAGGTAGCTTTGGATGCCTTGAGCTGCGCACCGAGCATTCCAGGGTTGAGAGATGAGGATGGCGGGGGTAAGGGTTTAGGGTTTAAGGGTTCAGGATTTAAGGGTTTAGGGTTTAAGGGTTTAGGGTTTAGGGTTTCAGGGTTTAGGGTTGAAGGGTTTAGGTTTTAGGGTTGAAGGGTTTAGGGTGTATGGCTTTAGGGTTTAGGGGTTCACGGTTTAGGAGTTTAGGGTTTTGGGACTCCCCAAAATCAACAAGGTTTTGTGTAGTTGTAGTTGTATATACGGGGAAACGAAAATGAAAACTATCTTACCGTTTAGGCTCATGATGAACCTCCCCACCCTATTAACAACAGACATTCGCTCAATTACCTCATATACTATGAATGCCTGCAGAAAAAACGGTCCTTCCAGAAGGTTGCTTCCCGGAATTCCGTCTTGATTGGGGAGGGTAATCAGCGTCGAGTTGTGATTATGTGGTAAGTTGCATTGGTAGTCCTTCTCGGTCTCTGGTATACTGCAGACCCGAAGAAGGAGCATGATTGCCCCTCCATTCCCAGTCAGAAAGATCTGTGTTTTCGGGTTCAGGGCTGTTGAATGTAATCCGCTCCCACTCATATTAAACCTCCCCGCCTCCCTTAATGTTCCCAATATATTTTAATATATTTAAACTTAGGGTAGGGTGGAGTGTAGGGGGACATTAACATAAAGGAGAAGGCATCAGAGTTTTGGAGAGGCTTAAAGTTTGGGATTCTGGGGCCGCTGTTAAGGAACTTAAGCTTCAGTTACTATAAAAAGGAAGCCCTAGGTTGAGGGTTCAGGGCCCGGCGCTTGGGTTTAGGGTTTAGGGGTTTAGGGTTTAGGGTCCTATTACTTAGTATATACCCATACTATGGTGTTTAGTTTAAGTTCTTTAACAGCAGCCCTGGATTCTGTATGAGGTTGCCCGCTCAGCTGTTCTGGAAAGGTCTACCTGGGGACATTGGTATTTTGGGGTCTATATTGGGGTCCCCCGACTTAGGTAAATACCACACCATGGTGCCAGCACACACATTTAGTGTTTCTGACTTAGGCAGCTGCCCGACCCAGGCCAGCTTGAGCTGGTTCCTGGGCATGTTGAGAAGATTGGCAATAGCCGTCCCAAGAAAAGCCTCGCCTATCCCAGCCATGAATACAGAGAGACTGTAAATGGCGCCATACCCTGATTCCCTGGCCTTCTTGGACCCTACCTAGAGCCTAAACACTGAAACCCTACACTCTACGCTCTGTAGACTCGGGGTTCTGAACTATAGCCGTCTGCTAGGCAGCAGGTTACAGCTCCCAACTGACTCTCAATCCCTGTGACCCCAAAGGTTCTGTTTCCCTTCATAGTACTTGGAGGGTCAGTGGACTAAGTATTTTAAAAAAACAATGTCTATTGTCTCGACCACATCAGAATCCCATTTATACCCACTGTTAACCTACTTACTAAGTCCCCCAGACCCTCCAAGTATGTATTCGGTGGCCAAGGGCTGCTAGAACGTCCATACTACATGGTTACATGACCCGCTGTTTGGGGACAAGTTCCAAGGCTATCGGAAAAGGCCAGGACATTTCCAGTATGGCGCAGAGCAAATACAACGAGAAGTTCAGCAGCTTGCCTGACATGTGGGGTGCAGAACCTACACCGGCGACATAGGACAGCTTGGCAGAATAATTGCACAGCAGGTCTGTTGATGTGAGCATTCAAGTCCTGCGGTTCTAAACCAGTTCCACGCATGTGTGAGACGCACAGCTCCATGTGCACGTGCTGCGCTACACGTTTAACACGCTGCGCACTATATTAGATGCTTCAAGAGCACGATGCAAGGTCAGAAGACCATACCGACTCATGTGAGTACCAACTTCTGAAGACATGACATGGTAAGCCTAAACCTGTGTACTTGAGAAGACGGCAGGATAAAGTCATTTCGATAGTGTCGGGTATTGGCTTTTCAGCGATCCTGCAAAATTGACTGAGTTGAAGGAGGCTGTTTTTGGGTTGCTGTTAAGGACTTTGAATTAAGTTACCATAATGGGTATACGTATATGTTATAGTAATCAATATGGTTTCCCCAATATAGCAACTCAAGTTAAATTCCTTAACAGCAACCCAGAAGATTGACCAGATCTGCATAGCAGAACTCCGTACCAACAATGTCATGTGGGGGGTTCCCAAAAATAGGGGTACCATTTTGGGGGGTCCCTATAATGAGGAGTAACTACCATATCTTCCAGGTCCAAGCGCCAAAGCTTTTTGCGTTAGGTACCAACCATTGGAAAGCAGCTCTTCTTACCCTTGTGACTCTTGAGAAGGCGTACCCCTGAACCCTAATCCCTTAAGCTCGCAAACAGTGGGTGCCACTTCCCAAACCCTAAATCTAAACCCTGAACATCCCTTAGCCCCAAACCCTAAAGCAAGCCAAGCGGGATGCACGTTGGAGGGTCAAGGTTAGGCTCCAGAGTTCGCGATCATGTGTACTATAGTCTAAACTCCTTAAAGGGGGTTATATAGGGATATAGCGGGGCTTAATAAGGGGGATACTAGAAGTTTGGACTATGGATCATGTAATGTAGGGGCCGAAAAGAGGTCCTATAGTCCAAACTCCCAGTATCCCCCCTTAATCGCCCGTATAATACAAACCTACATATTCCCCTACATACCCCCTTTAAGGAGTTTAGACAATGGCTCAGATGAAGTTCATCCAGGCTTGGTTTAGGGCTATGAGGGTCTTAGGGAGAATCAAATGCACAACAAGCTGGAGCATGAAAAGGAACCTGTGTTTTTTATACTGAATTATTGAAAAGGTGCCACTACTATGGTCCTCAAACAGGCCGCAAAATTGAAGTCGTCATCATTAAGGCCCCTATGGAACATAGGCCCCATAAACCCCTATGTGAACCCAGTTTTCATTTCATTGTCCATTGGTCTGTTGCATTTCAGTTTCTACTGTTGATAGTTGTTAAGCCAGCAGTACCGAGTTCAACGTACTGGTACATGAAGGGAGGTCAGGGTTTGAGGGTTCAGAGCTAAGGTTTTGGAGTTAAGGGTTTGGGGTTTAGAGGAAAGAGCACGGAGACTGCCAGGCATCCCCCCACTACCCTTGATTAGGGCCTCCGCAGGTCCCGCTTGTGGGTTAGTTGGGCTTTATAGAGGGCACTCTGGGGAGAGCCCTGCACCCCATATTTCCCTTTACACCCCTGCCATTACCTCTATAGCCCTTATACATCTCCTTCAAGTCGAGGGGGCCCTACTTTCAGGCCCATATCCTACTCCTTCACTCCATAAGACCTAAGTCCTCCGGGTAAGGAAGTGTTGTGCAGCGCTGGTTCCGGAAGACGACACCAGCAGCAGGTGTGAGGGGTTCATGTTTTCGAGTTTAGGTTTAGTTGTCATTTACCATCGCCATGCGTTATGAATACGGCTTTTGTGCTTGGCGCGTTGGCGCAGCAGCCAGCCGAGCAGGGTGTTGTGGATGGCGTTGGATGTATCTGTAACACCGATTACTGTACAGTACTAATTAGGGTGGAACCAAAAGCAACTCGTAGGTATTCCTGGATGAATCGTAGGTTCATGCATGTAGTCTTCAAGCGTGCGTTTATCGAACTCCAACAGTTCAGAAAGAAAGAAGCAACTCATAGGTAGTTGGAGTTATAGGTAGGGTTCAAGAGGTAAGGATTCAGGGTCCAGGACAGAGGGGGCTCACGGTGAAAGAGGTGCTATCATGCCATCTCGAGTCCTAAGGGCCCAAGTGCCTCTAGTTGACTGCTGTCCATGGCTGTTCACAGTTTGGGGTTCAAGGACTTGTGTCAGGGTTTACGGTAGACAAAGGGGATAGCAACGCACTGATAGCATATGCTGGGGCCTTAGGTAGATCTATGCTAACCCTAAACCCTAAACCCTAAACCCTGACTGCTAACTCTTTTGGGCCTGGGTATATACGATGTACCTACCTGGACACATTGGAGACGATTAAAGCTACTCACCCGTGACCCCCTCTAGACCCAAAACTCGGGGTTTCCCGAAATTAGGGGTACCATTTTTTTTTGGGGGGGGGGAGGGGNNGGGGGGGGGTCCCAATAATAAGGAGTATATATTAGGGTCTATATTGGGGTCCCAGAACTAAGGACTATAATGTATTCGGGTCTATATTGGGGTCCCCCTGTTTTGGGAAGCCCTAAACCCCAAACCCTGAACCCAAACCCTAGACCCTAAACCCAACCCCGATCCCTAAACCCCAAACTCTAAACCCTAAACCCCAAACCCTGAACCCGAAACCCCAAACCCTCAACCCTAAACCCTAAATCCAATCCCTCAGCCCCAAATCGTGCTGGAAATCTTTGTGTGTCCTTCTCTTGCATGAGCAGCTTTGCAGATCTGTGGCTGTGGCTAAGGGTCCGTGTACGTGTTGATTGGGTAGGGTTTAGGGTTTAGGGTCTAGGTTTAAAGTTTTGGGTTTAGGGCTTAGGGTTTAGGGTTTAGGGTTGAGGGTTTAGGGTTTAGGAAGGGATACAGAGCCCTAAGGGTCCTAAGACACAAATAATAGGTATCTAGGGCCTAAATACCACTAATAATATAATATTCTGGCCCTAAAACCCTATTATGTGGGTCCTTGAGCCCTTAGGGTAGGGATATATAGAGATATGGTATGTGTATATATATATATATGTATGCATGTAGGACTTTGTAGGGTCTAGGGTCCACGTGCCCAATAATCGGGTACTTGTGATTTTCGTGCTATAGAGTATATAGAACCCTGAACCAGCTATTTAGGTAACTGCAGCCCTAGGGAAAGCGTAAACACCCCTAAACCCCAAACCCTAAACCCTAAACCCTATAAACCCTAAACCCTAAACCTTAAACCTAAACCCTAAACCCTCAAAGCTTAAGACGTTGCAGGAGTTTCGTGACGGGTCTTTGGGGCTGCGGGGCTTTCGGCGGTGACATGGAGCTGAAGTTTGTCATCCAGTGGCACCTGGCAGGCAATGATAGAGCTTAGGGTTTGAGGGTTTGAGGGTGGGTTTAGGGTTTTAGGGTTTAGGGTCTGAGGGTTTGAGGGTGGGTTTAGGGTTTAGGGCTTAGGCAGTTGTTTCCATTGTAAATTTTTGGGAGGTGCCCCAATACAACCCCTATATGATATCGCTAGACACCCTTTTATGAAATAAGGTCTCGTAGGCGGCTGGCTCTAGTAGTTGCGTCACACCCGTAGCAGTGGCGCAGTCCGCAACAACTTCTACCGCCATTGCTGGTGCTATTCGTACTGTACCAAGAACAACAACTGCTGCTACCGGTATGATCCTCCCTCTGCCCATAAGTAAGCTTTCGAGTAGCCAAACGAAACCCTCAGCCAGCACTACCACTGCCATGCCAGCTAGCGCCGCTCGCGCCAGCAGCTGCAGCAGCCTCACCCCAGCCAGAATCGTTATTACCACCATGACAAGGACTCTTTAACTCTACCTGCACTCACCATTATTCAGTATCGTTGCTGGATGTTCGTGGCATTTTTCTTTGAGCTGCTGCGACTTTCTTCATGTCGATTCTGCAGTTGCTAGCCTTATGCGCAAGCAGTTGCATCTGTGCGCCGCGTTGTTGAAGTGAACCTTTAGTTACTCCCTAAATCTAACAGTTCTTGGTTGCGATAAGGCTTTCTGATTCATGGTTAGGCTTGCAGCCCTCGACCTCTAAACCTAGACCAAGGATCAGCTGTTCTCTGACGCCATCCGTCGAAAACATGGCGACTGCTCAGCAAATTTGGTTTCAACCGTTCCCAAGGGGATGGAATGAAGCAGATGCAGGGGCATTTCTGCGCTTCAAGTTTCATGGTTCTTCCTACATCAGCAGGATGTAGTCAGGGTATTGCAGAAGACTGACGGCTCACCAACAGTGTCCCTCACAATCCTTTTTGAAACATAGCCTGATGTATCCCGAAGCCCTATTCAAATTATGTAGCCCTAAGGGTCCAAGTACCTAATAATCATATACTTACCCAAAGCCTGTACTATAATTACTATTGCCCAAATCCCAAGTACCTAATTATTGGGTACATGGACCCTTTGGGTAGGCTCCCACATTATTCGCTTCGTGCTGGCTATCAGTAGCGAAAAGGCAGATGTTGGGACCACACCTGCACTTGGTTTAGGGTTTAGGGTTTAGACATGCAAAAACTTTCCTGCAATATGCAGTGTTGGGTGTCCTCCAAATTTCTCCCGGAGGCTGGAACCCTAAGTCCCAAACCCATACCCTAAGGGTCCAAGTACCCAAATAATGAAGCTTTTAGGGTACCTCAAACCCCAATATTGGGGCTTTTGATCCCGTAGGGATAACTCTAGAATCAGCTGGAGGGCAGGGTAAGCTCTGAGGTGTTTTGCCCTTTCGACCAGCACAAGAATCTCGCCGCGGCTGGCTTATTAGATCTGCTGTCTGCTCTTACGGGGAAAGTCAGCGTGAAGCTACTCTGCTGAACAGTTAACCCTGCAGGAGCTGGAAGTTTGATAGCTATAAGGGGGCTACCCAGGTTTCTGTTATAGCTTCAGTTATCCACTCTGTAGCCCATCTGATAGCTCCCCACGTTTGGGGGTCTTCTAGTTCAAATGAGGGCCCTGAGGACTATGCAGGGATTATGAGGAGCTTATAGGGATCCCCCTCAAAGATCTTTGGAGGATTTCCCTGTGAAGCTCCTACATCGATGGCATCATGTTTGGTGTGTAGAGCAGGACGACAATCATGACAACATTCCCAGAATCCTCCGCAAGAAAGCCATGATCTTCTTCACAGAGTCATGTGATGGCTCCGCAGACATGCATGATGCTTATACATCCTGGAAAATTGTCGAAGTTTCACCCAATCCGGCATCCCAGCCCGTTCTAGAACCCTAGCTGAGTCTTTTGTACCTCACAGCTGCTTTAGCATAGGTCTCCGAATACAATACAACTTCAAGTAAGCGGATGCTTTTGTGGCCGCAGCCTCATCAACGGCAGTAAGAGTTAGTGCTTGCCCATCTTGCCACTGTGGCTGTTCCGTGCATGAACGCTGTTTCTGATGGTTTTCTAGGCAAAGTGTTCTGGAGTTGACGCAGCTTTAGACCTGCGGACTCGTGATGGAATGTCAGGATTACTCGTTATGCGGAGATCCCCCAAACTCTGTAGCTATGCAATTATACAAGATGGCTTTAAAGTCATATGTCAGATTGTCAGGCGTCCCGTCCCCTTGCAGCTTTCACGGGCGGGCACTCGAAGAACGAGCTATGATTCAAATTGCCGCAATTATACATACCTCTATAGACATTAGTTGCAATTAGATGTCGATACCAAGGCTGCGTGTTTGCACGTGTTGAACTGAGATTTGTCACAGGGCTTCCCATCCCAGTACCTCACCTCCATATTTGTAGGGCGTCCTAAGAACGAGTTTGGGACCCTTGGTGTGTTTTCGATCCTTTCGCTTTGTCTTTTTCATTTTCCCTATGAAGAATTACCATTATTCAAGAGTGCTGGGTCCTGAACCAACCCTGAGGCCAGGAATCCTTGAGCTTCTGAACCCGAAGCCTTGGATTCCAAGGGAAATGCTTTAAAAGCCTCCGGCTCAAGCCGTCGTCGACCACAGAGGCAGTGAGGCTCTCCCCGGCAAGACGAGTATTGCAGCAGCGGCACAACCAAGACCATCGTTGCAATATGTTCGAAATATTAGGGGATGGGCAGAGACCAACCGGAGCAAACGCAAACGAGAGAACTTTGAGCCAGGCTGCCGGGACTCCACAGTGTGTATGATGTTGCTGCTAACGTGCTGCAAAACGGTTGCAGACCTGTTTGATGAGAGCTTGGCCAGGGCTGGGCAGCATGTGGCCCAGGCCTTCAGGCATTGGGGCCTGGGCCCCCAGAACCCACGAAAAAGCGAAGGGAGAAAAGGAAAGGGCTTCCTGAGACTATCCGGCACGCCCCCACAAGTCAGAGGATCGACCTTATAATCTCCCATAGAATCCCATATACGCGTGGTTTCAAGTTAGCTGTCCATTCTGTTTTCCACTTGATTCTTCATTTGTTGGACCTCGAGCAGTACACCTTGAACAAATCCCAAACCCTTTTTCTTCTTTGTCGGTGGTCCTGACCCGATGTGGAATCTAAGGACTGTTCTTGACTTGCTTGCGACCGGGCTGGATGGTAAAGTTGCGATGTGTAGAGGGTTTACGATTCGGGGCTTAAACAGGCTTGAAATTGCACCCCAAAAGCTTTGATTCCCAAACGCTTATCCCGAATCCTTGGTGGATTGTTTCGGGAAGGCTTGTCGAAGGAGTCTGGAAGTGTCAGCATGCTTTCTTCCACCCCACGCAACAAATTGGAGGAGACTCAAGGTTCAGGGGTAGGTGACGGCGGCTAGGCTTTGACTCTTGATTGGCAACCAGCTTACCTCAAGGGTCCAAGTACCTAATAATCATATACTTACCCAAAACCTGTACTATAGTTCCTATTACCCAAATCCCAAGTACCTAATTATTGTGTACATGGACCCTCTGGGTTAGCAGACTCGAATTTGAAAAACGCCGGACATGTTCACTCTGAGCTCTATCACGGCCAAACCTAGCCACTGCCGACACTCGCCACCCGCTCACCAAACTGGCTTGCTGTTTATTTGGGTAAATACCTAGACCCTCCTCCTACCCTCTATTAGGGCCTAAGTACCCACTAATAGGGACCATATATCCCCGATAAAGGGTACAAGGAAGGTCTTTTAAATTAAAATTTGGTTTCCTTCTTCATTAGAGCAACTTAGTTTGAGTTCCTGAAGTGTAACAACAACCCGGTCATCCCAAGTCCAGTCAAAACAATGATCACGCGCCCTGCCACACCCAAGGTAGACGCCGAATATCAGTCTTCAAACAACACGTTCCGCTACTTGCTCCTGGGTCCTTGAAGAATGGAACTGATCCCATTCTGAAGTTCCACACATGAACGTTGCGTAGGGTCCAAGTATTAAATGGTCATGCACTTCCCCAAACTTGTACTGCAACTAATGGTGCCCAAAGTCAAAGCTACTCACTTATTGGCTGCATGGATCCTTGACCTGATAAGCTCCTAGCTATCTCTTCCTACAGTTACATTCCCCTCTGAAGGGGCATAGTTATTGGGTACATGGACCCTTAGGGGAAGCAACCCCTTCACCGCAACCTGAAACTTCAAAGTTAGGCTAGTCCAGGACCACCTGACCTGACTCCCCTATTTTAGAGTAATGGAGAGTCACATGGAAAAGCATGAGGATAATCATAGTACAGAGTATAGGGTTGGGGCTTTCAACCGACTGCCGTTAATCTGGGTCTATGTAGCTCCCATGTGTAGGTATTTGGGCTCTATAGAGATACGTGACCTGTCAAGGTGCATTGAGTTTGGGGAGGAGCCTGAGGGGTGGCTTTTAAAGCTATGGCTAAACGCTAAACCTTAAACCTTGTGGGCCTGGTCACGTCGGGAAGTCTCCAAAACCCCATCCGGGACAACTGAACCCTAACCCCTAAACGTATTTGTGAGTGGTAGGGAAATCAGAGTTGTAGGGCCCATTAGGGCCCATTATTAGGGACTATGTGCGAGCTATTGTGATCTTTTCCCTCATTCCCTACCAACCCCAGCAAGAACACCCCAAGACAATGAAGCTGAATCCTTGAGCCCTAGACCTAAAACCCAAGCCGCCCTACCCAAGGCTAGACAAGCTCAAGCAGCGGAATTTGTTGGCTTGATGCCGGGAAGGAGGGCCACTCATTCGAGGGAAAGCTGGGGTTTGGGGTTCAGGATTCAGGATTTAAGGGTTCAGGATTAAAGACGTTAAGACTTTCATTAGGGTCTATACGGTTCAAGGCTGAGGTTCAGGATGTCAGGCTTCACAGAATCATAGCTTGCACCGGCAGGATGGGTTACCTGGCGCTTGCTGGAGCTGTATACTGTAACTATAAGTTGGATCATTGTCCAAATCATCTTCATTGTATACTGTCAAAACCCAGTTAAAGCATATAAAGCTACAACTCTCACGAGGATCCGACTAAGGATTCAGGACAGAAAAAGACACTGGCTGGCATCTTTTCAGTATTTGAGCCCTCAGTGCCACTCATAGAGAATCTGCCGGCGAAAAGACGCCCTAAACCTTCAACTCCGCCAGAAATACAGTACAGCTGGGTGTATTGAGGTTATGGCGTCAGGGCTCGAGGGCTGCGCCTGTCAGCTTGACCTCCTAAACTCTCCTTGCTACCTGCACTGGCCAAATAGGTACAGTATGAACGGTCATTTAAAACATGTCACTAGATGCGAGTGGATGCATCGATGGGTGCCGACACAAGGTTCATCCTGAGCGTACATTTCATCCTTCATGAGGTTGTTTGCAGTGGGATGGCGGCAAATTCTAAACAAGACAACGCGTATTCTGAATCCACATACTATAGTATCTTTGTTCTAGCCTCCTCTCAGGAACAAAGATTCTTGGATCGCTAGTGCATTTTAAGCGAGAGAGCGTGAATTGTAGAATGGCTAGAGAACACCTTCCATCAAGCGACTCCTAATGGTTTAGGGGAATTAGCTCTATAATTCTGCATGTGGATCCCGGTGCTTCATGCTCAGGTGATGTAGCTCTGGCTGCCACGAACAGACAGAGTGCTGATTGTTGTGGACAGAAAATTGGAGTTTTCATTAATAGTGGAACCACTTATACGGCCAATGTTTGCTAGTCCTTATTATGAGATACCCTCCAAAAAAGGGTTCTTAATTTCGGGAATTCCCAAGACTGCAGAAGGCATACACGAATCCCCCACCATCAGGGTGTAGCTGCAAAGAAGGACGACGTAAACACAATATACGCAATACGCATGATCATTTTTGCTATTATTATGGGTAGTAGTAGACGAGAGTGCCATTTGTCGTTCTTGACGAAGATTCAGCATAATGTGGCGTCAGATAGGTACGGAACACGTAGTAGTACTCTTGTTTTTATCGCTAGAATTACTATTAAAATTGGAATGTTGTTACTATGACGGGATTTCGTGCGTTGGAAGGGCCAATGGGGGTCAGCAGGCTCAGGCATCATCGTATGTTTATTCAAGTGTTCTCTCCATACTTTTACCTAGGGGTAATGGAAAAGAACATGAAAATTGCGACATAGGGCTACTGGATTTCATCAGCCCGAGAAGGGAGAAACAAATGGACAATCACAACAAAAAACCTAACATGGAAGCTGAACTTGTATGGGGTACAGAGGTCAGGGCTCAGGAGCATATAGTCGATACGTGGCGACAATGCCCCTGAACCTCAAGCCCTGGAGCTCCGGCGCTTTCTTAAAGAGCTGACGCAGGAGCCTACTTGAGGCACCCTATACCCATAATTATACAAGGAATCTGGGAGCAATATCATATTGGAAACTATTCAGGCCCATATACTATTATAGTACCCCAGCTGCCCGGCATGGAGTTTAGACTATAGCTCATATGAGACGTGAAGCCCAGGGCTAAGCAACAATGCCTTAAAGTCTGCTCTTGATGACATACGGTATTTGGGGCGGGGGGGGCGGGGGGGGGGGTTCCCAAAATTAAACCCTAAACCCTAAACCCTAAACCCTAATGCTTGTTTGGGGGGTTCGTAGAGTTATATTGGGGTGTATATGGGTTGGGTCCTGGGAGTGAGGGTATATATATCCCAAAATTAGGGGTACTTCTCTGGGGGGGATCCCAAGCATAGTGCCATGGAAAATGAAACTGAAACTGGGGTTAGATAGGGGATTATAGGGGTTAGGGTTTCCGAAAATTAGGGGTACCATTTTGGGGGTCCCAGAAAAATAAGGACTATAGTCTTTTGACACTATGTTGGCGTTTCTCTATTTAGGGAAACTTCCATTTGCTCAAAACGTCTGTCCCATGGCCATGCCCTAAGGCTCCAGATAGCCCAATGAAGGTTGTGCTTAGAGACTTTGTAGTCATATTTTATGGACATGCAGCGTTAGGTATAGGATACGGGCCCCTTAGGGTTAGGGATCCCCCTCTAAGAGGTGTATTCCCAGCTGTCCCTTTGTAAAAATCGTTAGAACATCGCATATGCTTCTACTTGCTCATGTCTGCTCGGCGAAATTGGGATTTGATACGTATAATACGGTAGCTTCTGTATAGTTTATACTTGGGGTAACGGATTAATAAATGGTTTGCGTTATGATATCCTCTTTAGTGGCCACTGCAGTCCAGTCCCAACGAGGCATGAGTCAGCTTACCGCAGGCATTCTGGGCTTAGATCAGATTGTGTGTCCAAAGGTTGCGGGTTGTTAGGAGGAAATGAGAGACCCTGAACTCTAAACCCACATGAGAAAATGACAAAAATAGAAACTACCATGTGATCAGGGTGCTTGAACAGTACTATAGGGATCCCTTCGTCCATTTCCTACTAACAACCAGCAAGAAACTAGCAGCATTGTTGGCGCTATGTCGGAAGCTGCTCAAGGCCGCCGAGTTCAATTTTGGACGGGGACGTCCCTTGACAACTTGAAACCTTCTGCGCAGCCGGAGGAGATTCTCAGCAGCCCCCTTTGGGTTTAGGGTTCAGTGTCTAGGGTTAGCTAGCCCTGGCCTCATGTTACAAGGTGTCCGTAGCCAATTATGTAGAGCAAGCTCAAGTGGCCTCCTGGCGGCCATTTTGGAAGCAAACTGTCATTTTACAGGAACAAACCCTAGGGCTCCCAGTTACCTAAATAATAGGAACTGGGTTCTAGAAACCCTATAGTTACATAGCCCAGTAACCTACTATTTGGGTAACTGGAGCCCTAGGGAAAGCTAGGGAAAGGTTTCATCTGTCAGGAGGCAACTCATTTCTTCAAAGTACATATCCATCCATTTGTTCCTGACCCTAAGGGTCCAAGTACCTTATGATCATATACTTACCCAAAACCTGTACTATAATTACTACTACACAAATCCCAAGTACCTAATTATNNGGTACATGGACCCTTTGGGTGAAGGTCCATACTTGGAGGGTATCCGCAAGTAGGGTGAAAAGATGCATAACGTATTTCAGCCTTGGGCACAACTGGTTTCAACCAAGAGCGGAAGCCTAACCCCAAGCAGACGTTGCCAATGTCAATAAAGGATATTGGAAAACGATGACGGCTTGCCAGCTCCTGCTGGCGATCGCAGTCTGCCGCCACGTACGATGTCACCAAGAGCAAATCCCTCACAATGGCCTCAGGCCGGTAGCTCCGTCAAGTTTACCGAAGTTGCAGTAGTGTTAAGAGCGCAGGAACAATTCGGATAAAGACCATGTCGTTGTCATCGTCCTCCTCTCGTTGTATTGGCCATCGTTGTGGTTCTTTCATTTTGTGTGTCGTCTTCAACATCATAATCATAATCGTAGTACTGATACCAATATTCCTTATCATCATGGCATCTTGTGTTTTTTCTTTTTTCCTGGTTGTCGTCGTCGTCGTCGTCGTCGTCGTCGTCGTCGTCGTCGTCGTCGTCGTCGTCGTCGTCGTCGTCGTCGTCGTCGTTGTTGTTGGTGTTG